TCTTTCTTTCTTTCTTTCTTTCTTTCTTTCTTTCTTTCTTTCTTTCTTTCTTTCTTTTGTCCTTTTCCTCATATCCAAGTTTTGCTTCAGTTATTATTTAAGTTTTCTCTTTCTCTGCTTCTGTATCTTACATAGAACATTTATACTTTTGTGTGATGGTATCATATTTTCTTCCTGGTTGTCCTTTTTATTCCTTTGGATATTTTATTCCTTTGGATATATACTGAGGTGCTGTGTATTGTTTCTGTATAACTAAATCTATTATTGAGCTCTGGATTGAATTTGGGGGTGGGTCACAAAAATACTTGAAGCATCTTAAGAGTTCATCACATATTAAACAGTAATACAAGGATGAACAAATTTCATAGCATGGACATTCTACAGAGCTTTACCTGCTATTATGAGTTAAAGTTATGAACTAAAACAAAAATGTAACTCTCAGTCAAATATTTATTTATTTATTTATTTTTAAATGTTTTAAATTTTATGTATTTGGTACAGCGTCTCACTATGCAGCTTGCACTCATAGTGGTCCTCTTGTTTCAACCTTTCCCAGCTCTGGGATTATAGGTGTGCACCACAACACCCAGGTTTGGTGGCTGGCTCAGTGTGGGGCTGGCATGGCATGTGGTACTGGGGATCGAACCCAGGTCCTTGAGCTTTCCAGGCAGACTCTTAGACTTCTGAGCTATCTCCCAGCCCCAAGTAATTGCATATTTGAAGTACCTCTTTTAATACCTATAATAAAAATGCTCTCTCAAAATTATATTGGCAGGGGGTCAGGGAGATGGCTCAGTAGAATAAGCACTTGCCTGGCTAGCACAATGATCTGGGTTCAATCCTCAGTTCTGAAAAAAAAATTATATTGGCAGTTCTAGTCTCAGGAATGATTGGAAAAGAAATTAACATAATGATAGTAATAATAATAAAAATTATTATTATTATTGGTATCAGGGATGAAATTCAGGACCAAACATTTATACTGCTGAGATATATTCTCAGCCTCTCAGAATAATAATAATAATAACAATAATAATTATTATTTTAAATTTATTGGATACAGGGTCTCATTACACAGCTCAGACTCTTAGTGATCATCCTGTCTCAGCCTTCCCATTGCCAGGATTACAGGAGTGCACCATCACACCTGGTTTCAGGGCCAGCAAGGTGCACCTCGGGGCTCTCGGCCCACAAGGCAAGCACTACCAGGGTTGGAACTCAGGACTTTGCGCTTACCAGGCAGGCATTTAGACCACTAAGCTATCTTCCCAGCCCTATTACTGAATGGAAAACAAAACCAAGAAAAATCACAGGTTTATAGTTCAAGATATTATATTAACATACCTCTATATACTGTAGTTTTAAAAAGTCAGCTGTCTTTACTTTCTTTTTTTTGTAGCTGGCTCAGCCCTTCCTGGGGACAGGGCCTGTGCGGCATGCGGTGCCAGGGATTGAAGCATGGTCCCTGTGCACTGCCTAAGCTTGCCTAAGTTTGCTTAAGAAAGCTCTTTAGACCACTGAGCTATCTCGCTGGCCCAGCTGTCTCTACTTTCAGTGTTATATAAATGAAGCAGCAGTACCTAAACCAATAAACATAATGTCATATTTTATAGTTATCACTTGAGAGCTCTCAGAGGGAGTCAAAATATAACTTAATAACATTTCCAGTAGTTGCCCTGAGAGCAAAAAAGCTGTTTGTCTCTTTTAGTGGTATAGCTTCAATACTTACCACAGGGCAAGGTGCATGGCAGGTATTCAGTTCCATGAGCTGAATTGGATTTATAGACTATACAGCTATTTTCATTGAATTAAACCTCACTTAGTTTGGCTTAACAAGCTGAAGAACTAAAACTCAAGTGACTGTCTTAACTTGTGTCTAATTAACTAAACCATCTACATTGATTACCTGAATCCAACATTAGAATGAAGAGCAATATTCCAGTATTCACAATGCAAACGTTGCATATTCATTGGGTTATGAAAAACTAAAAGCAAAGAATTGTCTTGGGTATAGTAGTAGGAATCCACACACCGATATTGCTGGTAAGCTTCTTGAAGAACCTGAAAATCAAAATAATTGCATTTGTTGATTCTTTTCTCCTCAAAACAATAGTTTCTTGCTGGTGCATATCTCAGGCCCCCATCATTTCTTCCTTTATTTCCTCATTGATGGTCAAGTTGGAATTCTCAGAAATCCTTTCCTACTGTTCAAAAGTGAGAGGATAAAAGACATATTCCATGGAGCATTTTGGCAGCTCTTACATGAAAACATGCAGGCATTTGCTAAACATTCTTCATTAAGGTTGGTAAACAATAATGAAATCAGTTGTTTATCTGGTGTTTTTATCACTATACAATGAGATACAGATAATCTCATTTAGTCATCATTAAACATCCCAGATAAATAGGTGCCATGGACTCAGTTGTGTTTCCTCTGGTTCAAAGGTATAGGTTAAAACACTAACATTTAGTGGGCTGATATTTGCAGATGGTTCTTTGGGGAGTTAATTAGGTTTAGATGATCTCATAATGGGATCAAAGCCATTAATAAAAAGGTTTATTCTCTCTCTCTCTCTCTCTCTCTCTCTCTCTCTCTCTCTCTCTCTAACTCAGCAAGGTATCATCTCCAAACCTGTACCAGAACACAGTGGTGCTGCCCCTGTATCTTGGTCTCCAATCTTCTAGAACTCTGAGAAAATAAATTTCTGATGTATAAACCACTCAGTCTGTGTTTTCCTATGGCAGCCTTAGGAGTGGAGGACAGTAGTTGAACTTACTGTTCCCACTTTGGAATATTAGAGCTCTCATTTCTCAGCATAAATTGGAATGCAGAGATGAGGAGGGGCTTGCCCCAGAGCTGATTTCCAAAAGTGGCCCTTTAAGCACGTAGCAGTCCCGGCATGCGACACATTAGTAACCTCTGAGAGACATGCTCAGTAGGTAGGTACTTATTCTATTTCTTCCTCACTGCCAGTCAACAAGAAATTGTCCAGAGTAAAATGACTTGGAGAACTGTGGGATTTTGTTCCTGTTTTTTCTTTCCATACTAATCTAATCTATCAATCTATATCAATATTGAAAGACAGCTTTTTTTTTTATTTTTGGATGTTTGCTTTTTGTTTTCATTTGTACACTGGCATCACAACCAAAATAATATATTTACCTTTCCAATTTATTCTCCTATATGTGCCCCTTTGTGAGGTAACAAACTTTTTCACTTGTCCCAAGAGAGCCAATACAAAATAACGTACCTGTGGTAAACACCTTTGCAATTAAACAACATCACTATGGAGGGCACGTCCCTTAATTTATTTTTGTTCATACTGGGGAATGAACTCAGGCTTCCCACACTGAACTGTATCTCTAGCTTCCTTTTCAAATTTTTATTCCAAGGCAAAGTTTTAGGTCACTAAATTGGATAGCCTGGGCTTGAGCTTGTGATCCTCCTGTCCCTGTCTGGGATTATAGGCCTGAAACATCATGTTTGGTTCTAACTGTTCTTTGAAAGGCTAATTTTTTCTAAGACTACAAATCTAGAAAATAAAGTTTGTGGAGTTGTGATGAACATATCTCCTCCTGTTAGATTACAAGAGCTTTTCAACGCTTACATCTTCATATCTGCTTTGGTTGCAGGGAAATACAGCTCTGAATTTCTCAGAGTCAGCATTTGCTCTTAACATTTGAGAAGGGCTCACATCATATCCCATCTTTTTATTAATTGATTTTTGCCCTTTACTGTGTATTAATATTGTTAGTATCAATTAGCTAATTATTTCATTAAGAATGAGTATGTATCATGTGCCAGGGAATATTGCATACTAACAGGATAGAGAAAAAACTAACAGGATAGACTGAATTTACTTCTGACTTGATTAAGGTTTATATAGACAATTCTAGAGATGAGATTAAGTTGATGGAATATCTTATTTGTAAAGCATGGCTGGGAAAAGAACAACAATGGAAGCAGACTGACAATTAGAAGGTTATTTGTAGAGGGAAAGGTTGGTAGCTGAAAGAAGTGGAAATCATTGAGATTAAAATTTAAAGTCTTTTAAAGAAGTAGTTAGCCCACCCCCACTTGCTGGGGCTACTCTTGACTGTTCAGAGTAGCCAGGCTGTTCTCTGTCTTCCATGTTGGCAGAAAGGAGAAGGTTATAGCAGGTGAGCAATGAATTCAAGGAACAGGAAGCCCTGGACATCACCAAAGAAGTAGAATCCCAAGGAAGGAACCATCGAATAGTCTTCATCAGTAGCAGCCAAGAGAAATACAGTGTGAGACACAAGTGTGGATCTCATATGTGACTCTAAATTTTATAGCTTCCACATCATAAAAAGGGAAAATAAATGAGTAAAA